TAGAAAAGCCTTTTTCTTTCATATTTTTCCCTTTCCCCACCCAAATGCCTCTCAAAGTATTTCTACCCATCTCCTTTAATTTCTCCCCCCATTCTCCTTCCACACACAGCTTGTACCTTTATAAGGGCTACACGATATTCCTACATGACATTGTTTTTAATTGAAGTCCTTCCTTTTCTAAAAAAGATAAACGTATCTTCCTGCGCCTTCTCTAAAGATAAAAATAATTAAATGTCCTTAAGTCAACTTATTTTAGGAGTAAAGTCAATCAGTGAGCACACCAATCTCAGGCACTTGGTAGCAAGCCTCCCCATCTTCCTGCCCTTTAATTAAAGCCCCACAGAAGATGTCATGCGGGAACTCTCCCCGTGGGGCTTTCTCAGATCGGGGAACATGGGATAGGCTTGCTGCCTGCAGAGTACTGGAGAACGGTTTAATGGAAAGAAAGGTGGCATGTCCCACCTTGCACTGTAAGGTAAGCTCAAAACTCAACACTCACTGAAATCTCAAAAATGAAGGCTCCCTGTGAATGGAGCAGAGAAACAGAAGCTGCTTTTGCAGGGAGAGAAAACTTTCAAGAAATCTGGAGGATGGGTTTGGGTACAGCACAGCATGCTGCACTTTTTAAAGTGAAATGGTCCGCACTACAGTTTCCCCAGAGAACATATTTTCATGGGAAATTATAATTTATGGAGCAGCCTGAAGTGAAACAGTGCCACGTGTAGTTCTGACCCAAGAAAGTTTGATGGCAGACACCTTGCTTCGGGGCGAAAGCAGAAATGTTATTGCAACTGAGTGACAGCAGTTGGATCCAGGGTTCTGTTGGACATCATAGACCCGGAAAGAAGTATTAGCCAGAGTCATTCCTGCATTGGTAGATTATCCTATAAAGCTCAAGTCCCCCCCCCCCCACTTTTTTTTAAATTTCAAGCTACAAGCCCTCATGATTACAGAGAACAACTGGTGAAGCTTATTCCATAATCCTGAAGGTGCCATAAGACTCCTTGTTGTTTTTATGTGGTGGGGCTGCTAATGTTGTTGCAGGGGCAGAGACAACCTACATTTTGGTGTCGTGGGGGGGGGGGAATCCAAAAGGCAATCTACATTTAAATATAATATATAACACTTTATAAATAATTGGATGCGTCAGGCAAGGTGTAAGGTGTCCCTTTGCTGAAAATCAAAGGGATAAGTTGCTGTGGGGTTGACCCATGGGTTGTAATTATTTTCTTTGCTTGCTTGCTCTTTTCTTTTGGGTGGCTTTTGAAGAGCACACTTTCCTTTTTAGACATACAAATACTGTGCCTTGATGTTTTGATTCTTAAGAAAGCTGGTTTGTATTAAGTTTATTGTTGGTTCTCCTTATCCCATTAATGTAGATGTTTCACAGAAGCAAAGGTTTACGTTTGCATCCTACTCTTTTTGACAGCTGTAAAACATTTAGGTTTTTTTAAAATATGGCATGATACAGCAAGATAACAATTTTCTTTGGTAGCTTAGAAAGCAGACTAAAAGTGAGAATTAAAGGCTCATGGAAACAAGACCTTAAAATGTTATGCTGTACTCATTTATCAGTGTGTACAAAATGTATTTATGTTATCTGAAAGGAGCCATTCATAAAGCCTTATGTGGTCAGCTCCCCCTTCTCTGTTGTTGATTAATAATAATAATAATAATAATAATAATAATAATAACAACTGTAGTGCTGGGTTGAATAATATCCCTCCACCTCAACATTGGGGGACATTTATGGCAACTTTTGGTGATTTGATGGGTGATTTGTTGGGGACAGCAGTTTTCCCATGAGGATGGCAGCACTTGTATGTTTAACTACAAAAGTTTTCCTGCCCCTTCAAGTGGTGACAGCAGCCCTGCCCGCCCCCTGCCTCCATGTAGACTGTCCCAAATGGAGCAGTGCTGGGGGGCTGTTACTTTGGTGACAGGGGAAGGTCTTTGGCTGCTCTCATTGGCCCACCCCATCCCTGAAATATTTAAAAAGCCCACCACAAATAAGCAAAATCTTTTGGCCCAGCACTGTTACTATGTTCCATGTGTGCAGAGATAGCTGGGTGGAAGCCCCAAAGCAAACAGATAGTAGATGCAGAAGAAGACCAGGACACCAAGCCATGAGATTTAATCAAGGAGGGCATAAAGGTTCGAGGTCTTGGGTCTTCACAGAAGATTTGAGTGTTTCATTTCATTTCATTTTTCATTTACGAATCACTTCCTATGAAGCATCTCAAAGCAATTTGAAGCATCTCAGAGTGATTAACCTCCCTCTTACAGTGAGTGGTTGAAAGCAAAGGGAGATGGAGAAGGCTATCTCACAATGTATCCCTAACAGCATTCTCCTCTGTGTCTAACATTGAGAAAAAGATTGTGGTAACCATGCTGTGAACTATACGTTGACAGTCAGACTTTACTTGAGAACTTATTGTCTCTATCCTCTTCATCAAGACCCACACCTGAACCACCAGGACCTGCCAGACTCTGCCCCTTGGCCTGCCAGACACAACTGAACTGAACAGCTGTGAAGTTGCACCTCTAAGATAGAGAGTAGAAGCTCTCTGGGGAAAGTTGCAGGCCAAGAAGTGTGCACGATTCCTGCCTGCAGGCCTTGGGTTGGACAAGGAGGTCCTCACTCCTACTGTTATTATGGGATGATAATATGATGCCACTTACACAAGAACTTCCTCCTTTTTCGTAAAGTAATAAAAAAAAATACATTTCCCATAAATTCAAAAACAAATATATAAGTATAAATTTGGGCAGTAACAACAATAAAATAATTAAGCCTATACATAAATAAGGTAAGCAGGAAACAAAATCAGTGACAGACAATAAAGTCAGTGTCCAACATGTAAATAAAGCAAGTTATGGACTGATGCAGAATAAGCCATGGCATAGGCCAGTGATGATGAACCTTTTAGAAGCTGAGTGCCCAAACTGCAACCCATAACCTGCTTACTGATTGTCAAGTGCCAACGCGGCAATTTAACTGGAATACCAAGGTTTAGAAAAAACAACTTGGACATTAACATATTTTGCCTTAAAAGAAAAGCACAACAGAGCTTTCAATGATACAAACCACTTTTTATTGAAAAGTAAAAGTTTGTATTTGGCATGCTTTGGAACAATTAATGTGATTTTTGCTGTCATATGCACGCTGATCATTTGTCTAACCTTGGCTCATACTTTGTAAGCTGTTGGATGATCTGCTCTAAAAAGAGAGTTGCAAAAACTTAAGATACTGGGAATGATATTTCATCAATTTCCCTTCGGGAAACTCTTTTCTTTCAGTCTCACCAAGTTGGGCAACACTTTTGTGGTTGGTGTCAAAGCGCTGTCAGAGCCTTGATGTGCGACACACAACACTTTCATTGCACAGAAGACATAACACTTTTCCATTGCGTTCAATGATCTTCCACTGTCTGTTCTTGCTCCCCCCCCCCCCCGTATTCCTTTTTGAGTGTTCCAGACTTGGAGTCTACAAAAACACACAAAAAAATTAAAAAATGAAGCACCCAATACAAATCTATCCCTGTGTCTGCGTCACAACAGCGAGCTTCAATTCCTCTGGCTTTCTAGTAATGAACTCGGTGCTGGGGCAACGGCACCTGTGCCCACAGAGAGGGCTCTGAGTGCCCCCTCTGGCACGCGTGCCATAGGTTCGCCATCACTAGCATAGGGAATGCATTTGATAATGAAAGCAAACTACAGAACTAAAAAAAAGCATGTATACAGGAAATTCCCCCATTTGCATGCATTTGGCTTGTATGCAACTGCTGCGCATCCTGCTGACGCATGCAGTGCCTCGGAACGCAGCCCCCATGCAAACGGGGAGTTGCCTGTATATAGTTTTCTATTTGCAGGAGGGGGTCTGTGCTGCTCATCCGTCAAGATTTCTGGCGTTCTCAGGGAATGGACCAACAGAAAGTATTCTGGTTTAGTTTTGCATTTTATTAGGTGGGTGTTTAAATGGTTGAATTGTACTTTTGTTTTAAAAATCTCCTAGAATATTTGAATGTGAAGCAAGCAAGCAAAAATAGGAAAAATTATTGGCGGAAAAATGAAATGCTGAATTGGTGCTTGCCTTGTTGGTAGAAGTATGGGGTTCTTAAGATTTCACCTTTCCTTCTCTAGTATAGGAGCGAGTGCCATACTCTGTTTTGCCAGAAAAAAATGAATAGTGTTTACAAGGAGTTTACAAGAGCTTAGCATGGAGGAGCAAACACAATGTATAGTGAAACATGGAAGGAACTCTTCAGGAACAGGAAAGCATTAGCCTGTCTTTGATATCAAGGGCCTGCCCCAAAAATTAATTATATACACTATATATCACAAGTAATTTTACCTTCAAAATTATAAGCTGAGCAGCTTTTCTGCTTTCATAGAAAAGACTGGAGATTGCAGGCCTGTTCTGAAATGTAGTCATGGTTACTTGGCTCAAATCTTGCTGGGAAGGTTTGCTACTAATCCACCAAGCAGGTAAAAGATGATAAGGTCTATTAATCACATGGCGTGGCTATGGAACCTGAAAGAAATAAAAAAAAGTGAGAAAGTGTGCTATTTATGAATAAATAAGCACAGACACAAACAGCCATAGTTGGAGTTACTAAACTGATGTGTGCTTGCTATAAAAACTGCCAAAAAAACCCAACCTACACAGGTAGTTTTCTTTTTTCTTTTGCAAACTCATAAGTGCAGTTCCTGAGTTTAGCAGATGATTTTGAACATGCACACAGACCACTTGGACCCAAACTGAAGGGGGGGAGCTCCCCCCTCCTGTGATATCATTGTCTGCTTTGCCTGTTACAGGAAGGAGGAAGTATGGAACAAACTGAAGAATTTAATATCCATAACTTATAAAAAACAACCCAGCTATGCTGATGCATCTAACCCCCTCCCCCTCCCCTGCCCCTTTTCTACCTCTCCCCCATTTCCTTGACTCCCATTCACCCAGCCCCCTCCTCCCAAGCGCCCTTCCCAACATCCCAACCCTTATCTCTCTCTCTCTCTCTCTCTCTCTCTCTCTCTCTCTCTCACACACACACACACACAGAGAGAGAGAGAGAGAGAGAGAGAGAAATACAATGCACAACAATACTCTTAATTCTGAAAGGAGGACATCTCCCACAGCTGGAATGTGCTTTCTCCAGCCAAAACCAAACACTTGCATTATGCTTCATATCCTCCCTTTTAAAGAGCTTTGTATGTAGAATGTTTAAAATGTTTGTAAGCTCTTTACTGATTTTCCCCTGCTACAGTTTGCAGGTTCAGAGGTCTGCCCAACCACCAGACCAAACATATCAGTTGGGAAAATGTGTTACTCTGACTGAAAGTCGGAGACCTGTTTTTATATTGTTTATTATATATTATAATTTGCTAATTGCTAGTAGCCCAAAAGGGAAAACTTTAACATTGCCCAAACAGGTTGTTGCATATATGTGTTATAATAAAAACTTTTGGACATGGGTTCAGTAAAAGCCATGTCACTGAATGTAAGGGGAATTTGTGATCAATAAAAAATGACTAATACTTAATCTAAGCACAACCACAGGGGCTCCTGATTAGGCATTTAGCTATGCAATGTTGAATATTATCTGTTAATTCTGGGCTATCCGATTTCCCCTTTGTTTTTGTTTAAACCAATTCATGAACCAATAACTTGCACATTGACATCAAATAATGAACCATATGTTGTAGCTATTGCTGAAAATTTATTATGCTATTTTTGAGATATACAAATGACATAAGAAGATTTGGCCTATTTATTTGTATCATTTATTATTACTAAAATATTTGCTTATAAAACCCAATAAAAGTTATTCAAAAAACAACAACAATCTTACACTTTGTTTGGTGTTTTTCTGGAGAAAACAGTCCATTCAGCACCCCAAATCTTACTAACAGTTATGTCCAGTTCACTTCTGAAAAGCAAGAAAAATCGCCTGATGTTCCTCTGGATCTAGTTTTGTGTTATGCTTTTTTTAAAAAGTGGATTATAATAATTTATGTTGAGTGACATTTCAACTATTTGTTTGCTGCTATCAAGCCTAAAAGACCAGAATTTCTCATGTATTGTAATACAAAATTAATAATGAGGCTACTTTGAGATGAATAGTGACAATATGTCTAAACTTGGTTTACGTTTTGCCTGCACAAATTTGTGTGTGGGTTTTGTTTCACTGCTGTTTTGTTATTTGTAATGGTCTAATTTGCTGCCTGCATGGCTTATCTAGGAGGGGAAAGGGAGATTCTGATATTGTCATTGACCTCCTTCATTAACTCACCAGGCTGGCTATCAAATTTGCACAGAAAAAAAGTTGTGTGTGGGCTTGTCCACACCAGGGCAAAATATGGACCCCACCCCAGGGTTGTAACGGACCTTTCCCCCTTTAAATGCACAGTTTTTTGATCCAGACTTTTTTGAATTTACAAGGATGCAAAAGCCTCCCATTGAAGAGGAGAAAGGTCCATGACGGCACTGGGGTAGGGAGGAAATGATGTCCTATGAATGCTCCTACATTAATGGGAGACAGGTCAATGCAAACAAGACCACGTAAATAACATCATGTGGAAGGGCAGATGGAGCACATGACCTGATTGTATGTCAGATGCCCCAATTCATCCTTTTCCAAATTTTCTCTCCCCGCCCCCCAAGTTTCAAAATGAAACCAAGTCTACTAGTAACTAATAGGTGCAATAATGCCTTATAGACAATATATTCACAGCAATGTGAGTCAGTGTTAACAGAGCATCAGAGTTGAACTGGGGGAAACAGAGATTCATTTGCCCACTCAAACAGAAAGTTTACTTGGGTGACCTTGTACCAGTCACACTTTTTCAGCGCAAACAAGGGAGGAAAAAAATGTGGAAAGGATGAGACCAATAAACGCCTGTCTGGTGTGCATTGCACCCTCACAGTCCCACATAACGCAAGATAGTCTGAGGGCATTTCTAAGGACGTTCAACTGAAGTGCTTGGAAGCCTCCACACAGCCAAGAATCCTGCCTTAGCAGGATTCCTGAATTGTGCTGGGGCTTTCAAACACATGTGGTGGAGCATGTGAAGTTCAGTGCACACAGGGATATTGGGGGGGGGGACTCAGTTTGCATACCTTCAGCCTCCCCTATGCATGTTTCCATTTCTTACCCAGGCATATTGCCTGAATAAGGCTCAGGTGGATGACAGAAATCTGATTTCCAGACATATTCTTTTCATTAGATGAAAGCCGAAATTCTCAAGTGACTGATTTGGAGCCATGTCTTAGAAATCAGAGTCTATGACTGATTCATACTCGACCAGCAAAATCCCCTTTATTAGTATGGTAGACAAAAGAATTAGGAAAAAAGTATCGGGACAGGAACCAATCAAGGAAACAGAATGTGAGTGCAACAATTTTTGATGGTGTGAAGGGCGAGATGTCTGAGAGGTATACCAATTAAATGTCACCAGTTTATGCAGCTGCCTCTGTAAGTGGTCTGCTGAGAGCAATAAAGGCATTTTCTCTGCTACTGTTCTTATTTGAAATAACATCTGCCAGCAAAGCGATGCCAAAAAGCTAATGCAAAATGCAACTGATCACTACTTGATTGTGTCATGAAGTTCAAGAGGGCACAGAGGGAATTGATAAATAACAAACTGTCGCTTATCTTCAAAAGATTAATGGAACCAACTCCCTCCCCCCCCCAAAAAAAGTGTTGGGTGGGACTGATGTGCATTAATTGAGCTTGACCATCCTTGAAAAATATGTAAGGTAATATGAATCCCTTCCCTTGCAGTTTATTGAGCAGCCTGCACCAAAATGACTTAGACTTATGTTACACAACTCACAAAGAATGGATGTCTAAAGTTTTTGATATTATGGTTTTGCATAAGCTCATGAGGCTGAGATGCCCTGGTGCAGCCACGGTTGGACCTCAGGGTGGACGTCTGGGGCCCCGCAGCTCAAGGGTCCCTAAATGATCCACCAGACTGTGGCAGATGATGGGGCCCCACATCAACAGATGGGTCAGCATGTTTATTTTTATTGAGAGAGAGGCTGGCTGGGCAGGATGTTTGTTACTGATGCTCATTATATTTTTTATTGTAAGTGTATCATTTTCCACAACAAAATGGTGCTTATTTCCAAGTGAACATATTTAATCAAGGCAAATGCATGATGGTGCTATGATATCAGTGAAGTTAGAATGAAAAGCTGCATACACTCAGAGTATTTCTCTTTTTATTGGAGATTGGTCAATTGTGTTTTCTTTGTTCTAACCCAGGGGTGCCAATGCTATGTCCTCCAGATGTTTTTTGGCCTCCAACTCTGATCCTTTTTGACTATTGGCTGTGCAGGCTGGGGCTCTTGGGAACAGGAGTTCAGCAGCAGCTGGATGGTTCCACGTTGGCTGCCACTGGCCTAACATATCACGGGTGTGGAAGCAGTAATATAGCCTGGAAGGGCTGCAGCTGAAGTAATGCACATGGCCATCCAAAGCATCCCTCACATAGGACCATTAAGTTCAAGATCTGAAATTACCTAGCTGTGCCACTTGCAAAAAGTGGACGAATCACATTTACTAGAAATGTGGTTCTTATTCTGTGAACCAGAACTGTCTAGACAGATGTTACTGAGCTGCTGCATTTTAGTTTGCGTTTATTATTTTGTTCCTTTTATCTTTGTTGCTTAGTTATAAAACTTCAGTACAGATGATGTTGAAAGTAGCTGGACCTTTTAAAGTGTGGGTTTTCAGCTTTAAAGGGCATGCTTACAACTTTCCATTATCTTGCCTTCACAAAAACAGCAGCCGTGTCCACCAGTCTGGACCAGGACTGCAGGTGCAGGGAGAGTTTAACCCTTTCCTAACTGCCACTTTCTCTTGATTGTGCCTAGAGGTGTTATTTCATGCAGGTTTTGTGGGCACAAATAGCACTTGGTTGGGCAAGCACAAGCTGAAAGCATACTTAAGATAGCATACCACTTTAGTAAAGCAAAAGGAATGGTGGTCACAAGAAAGTCTTCATTCATTCCCATATCGCCAGTAAAAGAATATAATAGTAATAGTAGTAGTAATAGTAGTAGTAGTAATAATAATAGTAATAACAATAGTAATAATTTATTTATACCCCACCCATCTGGGTGGCCTCCAATAAAATATTAAAATACAGTGGTCTGTTAAACATTAAAAGCTTCCCTAAACAGGGCTGCCTTCAGATTTCTTCTAAAAGTTTGGTAGTTGTTTTTCTCTTTGACATCTGGTGGGAGGGCGTTCCACGGGGTGGGTGCCACTACTGAGAAGGCCCTCTGCCTGGTTCCCTGTAACCACCAGAAGGCCCTCGGCGCTGGACCTCAGTGTCCGGGCAGAATGAAGGGGGTGGAGACGCTCCTTCAGTTATATTGGACCGAGCCCATTTAGGTCTTTAAAGGTCAGCACCAACAATTTGAATTGTGCTTGGAAATGTACTGGGAGCCAATATAGATCTCTCAAGACCGGTGTTATGTGGTCTCGGCGGCTGTTCCCAGTCACCAGTCTAGAGCTGTTGTCTTAACAGGAAGGTGGCCTTATACTCCACCTTCTTATACTTATGTTCCCCCTCCTTCTTTAAGTCAACACTTCTGCTTCTCCCATGCCTAGAAATCAAGGGTCCAAGAGGTCTTCTGTTTGCCCCCCCCTTCCCAAGGAGAATCTCCTCTTTACTGCTGAAACGGAGCAAACATCAATCTGTGGAGAACCTGATTGACATTTGCTCCAGTTAAGCAGGAACAAGCAGGTTTTCCCTGGGGAAGTCAGCGGAATAAGTGGAAATGTAGATGAGCCCCTACTGGGAAACTTTAACCTGGAAAACTTCTACAATAAATAATGGCAGAATTGGCACATGTGCAGTTGGGCAACAATTTTTGATGTGTGTGTGTCCATCCCCATTACAGAGTTTGCTAATATGCACCTGTGTGTCTGCACATTGTTTTAAATCAAATAAAAATAAGAAAGGGGGGTTGTTTAAACTTGCAATCCCTACCTGCAGCATGACGTCTACTGTATAAACTGGCAGGTCTGCTGTATACAGTTCCACTTTCCGCCTAGTAAAAGTGTTTGGGGTTGCAGTGTATGCA